TAGGCAGAAAATTGCCCATTGTCAGCCTCAGGAAAGGGGGGGGTTTCTGGCCAGCCCTCCCCCCCCCCCCATGCTGGGAGAGCTGCTGGAAGCACCTCCTCTGACCCCTTCTTTCTGCAGGAATAGGATGAGCCAGGGGGGCTCCAACCCCGCCGCGGTGCCCCACGCCGCCGAAGACATCCAGGGGGACGACCGGTGGATGTCACAGGTGAGGCTGGGGGGGGTGGGGGTCCCGGGAGGCTGTGGCCTCTCCCCGGGGCAGGGGGGCTGTTGGGTGAGTGCCGCATGGGCCCCTCTGGCCACAGATCTGACCCTGGGGTCCTGACAGCTCCCCAGAGCCGTGTCTGTCTGGCCTGTGGTGACGAAGCAAGGCAAAACGTGACCTGGAAGCATTTGAGAAATGCTCCCCCTTGCCCATTCTCTGGGAGAAACAGCCAGCCCCTTCGTTAAAGGGCGAAGCGGTGTGTGTCTCTGCGAGGCAGTGACAAAGCTGAAAACAGCCAAGTGCCTGCACTGCCTCCTCCTCGACAGGGAGAAATAGCCAGGGGGGACTGGCTGCAGTGATTAACCCTTAATTCCTCCCTTGTTGGGTCTAATGGGTGCCTGAGAGGCTGAGGGCTTTATGCCTGTGGGGCACCTGGGGGGATGAGGTGCTGCTCTTACCCAACCCAAGGTTGTTGGTGGGGTCTGTGGGGTGGGGAGGGAGTGTCCGGCCACTCACGGGTTAACCAGGGGCTGGGCAGCAGCAGGGGAGACTGGTTGGGCAGCCGTCCCTTTTCTGTCCTGCAGCAGAGATACCGATTATCCCCGGAGCTCACCTTCCTGCTTGCTTTTACCAGCACAATAGGTTCGTCCTGGATTGCAAAGACAAGGAGCCCGACGTGCTCTTCGTGGGGGACTCCATGGTGCAGCTGCTGCAGCAGTACGAGGTATGGACAGAGCAAGGAGGGCGGTGGGGTTACAGGAGTTGGAGGCTTTCTCTCTCTCGAGGTGATCCCCTGTAATACAGAAATTTCTTCTGTTCCATTCTGATTTTACTGCCATCCCTCCAGGTTTATTCTGCTTCCCAGTGCCCCTGCTGAGCCTTGCTGGTTTAGCTCTCTGAGCCATTTGCAGGCTTTCTCTGAAGCCCTTACCTTTGGACACACATACACAACCCCTTCTAGTTCCTTGCATCTCGGATTCCAAACTCCCCAGCCCACACCATGGAATCCCCTCTAGGTCCCCGTTCAACCCTCTGGTGCTGGGGCTGTTACAGGCATCAACGCATTCTTTTTTCTCTCTAAAACTCTTGGGGCGAAGACTCCTGCTGCTGTGCTGTGGTGGCAGCTGAGCAGCTCGGTTCTGCAAGAGCTGCTTCCTTTTTTCCTAGTTCTCTTACCTGCTGATGGAAGGGATTTTTTCAGGTCATTGATGTTTTCTCCCTGAGGCTTGGGATGCTGCTCTGAAACAGTGAATTGATTTGTGATTGCAGATATGGCGGGAGCTCTTCTCGCCGCTTCACGCGTTGAATTTTGGGATCGGTGGGGACACCACAGGACACGTCCTATGGAGGCTGAAGAACGGTGAACTGGAGAACATTAAACCGAAGGTACCAGCAGAAAAGCAAACCAGGCAGCCCCATCCTGACTTAAAGACAGCTTCGGTGGGGAACCCAGGGAGCTGTTAACACAACTCTCTGTGTGAGCAACCGCTGGTGCTGAGTGTGTTGGGCTGAACCAGGAGGTTGCACTGCTGGAAACACAAACCAGAAAGTGTCATCAATAAATAGAGGCAGCCTTCTAGTCCTAGCAAAAATGGTGATCAGGCCTGTGATCTGCTGTAGTTTGGAGCCACGGTGTGTCTCTCAGGCCTGAGATGCCTTCTCCGCCTCTAGATGGTGACGTATCTGATAAGGAGTTAACCAGGGTGTCCGGGAGGTGTGATGGGGATCAGCCTCCCAGCCTGCACCAACAGCCCCAGCCCCCTTGCCAGTGTCTTTACTGGGAGCAGTGGGCAGTGCACGCCCCAGGGAGGCAGGCAGGGTCACTTGTATTCCAGCCTGTTGATCAGTTTACCATCTTGTGAAGTAACAAGCAGAGCTCTAGGATTGTCCCTGCCCCCAAGGTGCTTATGCTGTGCTGTATAAATACACACTGCCTTCTTTTTGAGCAGTGTAAGCTCCTGCTGAGTGCTCTGAAGTGGGGTGGGCTCAGACGTCTCTGAGGCTGTTCAGGAAAGCTTTGGTACTACCAGTTCTTCATCCGAACTGGGGGCCAAAACAAGCTGGTAAGAAGCTGTTCCGTAACTGGCAGCGGTGAGCTCTCACAGCCTGGGGTTCGCTTCAGCCCGACTCCTCGCCTGCCTGCACCCAAGTGATGTTTATGTAGGGTTTTCAGGCTCAGCAAAACCCATTACAGCTCATCCTGAAAAAGGCAAAAACATGGTTGTGTTTGTGTTTTTTTTTTTCCCCTCCTTGTAGGTCATTGTCGTTTGGGTTGGAACAAATAATCACGAGAACACGGCAGAAGAAGTTGCGGGGGGAATCGAGGCGATCGTGCGCCTGATAAACACCCAGCAGCCACAGGCCAAAGTCATCGTGCTGGTAGGTCTCTGGGGGCACTGGGCAAACACCCCGCTCTGGGGAAGCCCCAGGCTCTCTCTGCCCAGCAGGGAGTTACCCTTCCTGGGGGGGAGGGCAGTCCCTTGGTCCATCTCCAGCTTCATGCCTCTCCTCCTTCACCTGGCTTTGCAGCAGTGCTCCTTTCAGCCCCTCCAGAGCCAGGTGTAACCACTCCCCTTAGGGATGTCCCTCTCCCACTTGGAAACGGTGTCGGAGAAGCCCCGTGAGGGGGGGAAAAGGTGCCCAGGTCGGAGCTGGGGTTGGAAATCCCAGTTGGCTCCCTTGTCCTGGCGGGTTAGTGGTGCCTCTCCTCCCCAGCAGCCAGGCGACGGCGTTCGGTGCGCTGCCAAAAGCTTGTACAAAGAGCCCAACTGATGGATTAATGGGAAAAAAAAACAACAAAGCAAGCAAGCAGCTGTGCCAGTTGTGCTCGTAGCTGCATTTCAAATTAGCTGTGAGTGGCCAAGCTCCCATTCAAGGGATGAGTTCCCCTTGCCACGGGCATCTCGAGCCTCGCCAGGCTGTCAGAGTTGAAGGGAGAGCGGGTGCTGTTGGGCCTTCGCAGCCCTGTGAAGCTCTCTCTTGCCTCCTCCTCCTCCCGCCAGGGCCTGCTACCTCGGGGAGAGAAGCCGAACCCGCTGCGGCAGAAGAACGCCAAGGTGAACCACCTGCTGAAGGCCTCGCTCCCCAAACTGCCCAACGTGCAGCTGCTGGACGTGGACGCCGGCTTCGTGCACTCGGACGGCACCATCTCCTACCACGACATGTTTGATTTCCTGCACCTGACGGGAGGGGGCTACGCCAAGATCTGCAAACCCCTCCACGAACTGATCATGCAGCTGCTGGAGGAGACCCCCGAGGAGAAACGAGCCGCCCTGGCCTGAGCAGCCCCCGTCGGCGTCGAGAGCATCATCCAGCCCATCAGATCAGTTCCGTCACTGGCACTACAGAATCCTTCTTTCTTAAAGCACTTTCCATTGTAGAGTGTTACCGGATGTTCGTCCCTAGTGTTTTGAGGGGGAAGGCTAATCTTTAACTGGTCTTGTACGTACGAGGGCCGGCTTGGTTGGTTTTATTGCAGGAGGAAATTAGCTGAAGAAGAGTTTTACTTTTAAACCATTCCTCATTCAAAGCGAGAACAGGACTGTCACTCTGTGCCCCTCTCATGTCTTGTTGCTCTGTGGTTGTCCTAGAAGCCCGGTAGCCCGTCTCCGAGGGCCCGCGCGCCGCTCCTGGCCGCAGGCGTCGTGCTCTGTGTGTTAGCCTCTGAACAAGAATCACATTCCACTTGCAAAAGCCAGAACAGATGCATTTTTCCAAACTCGGTCCCACCTTTTATAGTTTTTTTGGGGGTTGTTTTGGTTTTTGGTTTGGTTGGTTGGTTTTTTTTCTTTTTTCCTGGGGGGTTTTGAGTGACACGTGTTGCTCTCTCACTCCTTCTTTCCGAAGCAGCATGAAACTGGAATTCAGAAATGTAAAGAAACGGTAACTGAACTGGTGTAACACTCCCCGGCGCTTCTTCTCCTGCTTGTTTCTCTGTGCCTGGGGCACCTTCCCTGGGGGCTCTCACTTGGTGCTGCTGCCTGGCCTGCTCTCTGCCCCTCTCTCTGTGGTGTCGCTGGCTTTTAACCCTTGCTCACTTTAGGATTTTAATTATCCAGTAAACGCTGCACGAGGCCGTCGCTTCCTCGCTGCTCTGGAGCTGCCATTTCACTCCTCCCGGGTGCCTGTGCCCCAGGGCTCTCTGCACTCCTCTTTCTTCTTCTTCTGGGCTGTTTTGGGGTTTTTTTAAGTACGACTGTTACATCCTTTTTTTCCCTAAAGGGAGCCCATCTGAATAGCCCCTGTCTGCGAGGCCTAAGTCAGTCTGAAGCTTTACGGATCCCGAGGTGTATATTTCTTTGTCGCTTCTGTTTTACTTGTATAAACATTTTATTGGAGCCTCTTGCAGTAAAGAGCGAAGTCGAGGTGTAGCTTTTCCTGCTCCTCGCCTCCAAGGCAGCCGGAGGGGCCGGTGCCCTCCTTCAGGGGCTGCCACGAGGTGGGATTTGGGTTTGTTTGGTTTTTTTGGTAGGAGGTCTGGTTGCAGTCTGTGACGATGATGTGAAAACAGCCTTTCCTTTAGAAGCGAAAGGCTCTCTTTTTCAGAAAGAAACCGGTCTGGACCCGAAAGGCAGAGCCCTGGATGGGTAGATAACACTCCAATCCCACCATTTTAAACAAAGCCTGTTCCTCCTTGGCTTACCTGTGGCCGAGAGCCACCACCACTGTTTTTTCCCCCCCCTGCCCTGTAAGTGGGGTCTGTGGGCACCGGGCTCCTGGCGGCGGGTAAACTGGAGAGGAACGGAGAGTTTTCCAGCGGGACCTTCATCCCCTGTTCCCCTTGAGGAGCGTTTTGGTGCCCGGGTTGCTTGCTGTGCCCTGCCACGATGAAGTCCATAGGTACTGTATATAGTCTGTCTGCCCTTTTTTATACTCCAGGGGCTCTGTGTTTAATGCAGTCTATAATAACCTCGCGTTACGGAGTACTGTCGTGTCCCCCCTCCCTCCCCCTCTCCCCGTAGATTTGCTCGTAGCAGGATTCCTGCCTGGATTGCATGCCTAGTGTGTGTTTCGTTTCCAGTATATGTGGCCTACACACAGATGAAGGAAAGGTGAAGCGTCCCGCTCGCCAGGACCAGAAGTAGGACGTTGGGGGAGAGGCGCAGGGGGGGAGGGATCGGGGTCCTGCCCCCGGGGAGGGGACTGGGGGCTCCCCCAGAACCTGCTCCCCGGAGCTCCGCGGGCTTTAAGGGAGCAGTTTGGCTCACTGGAGAAGCTGAGGCAAAATGAAACATTAAAAATCCGCTGGGGTGGAGGATTTCTAAGGAAAGGACTTACCACACCCTGGAGGGAGTCAGGATGAAAGATGCTTTGCTTCCCCTGAGCTTGGCAGGTTTCTGGGCTGCATGGAAAGGCAGCGTGGTGCTTCCCTCTCTGCTTCCCTCCCCGCTCCCGCTGCTTTGGGCTGAAGGGCTGCTCACCAGGAAGGTGCTCTCCAGTAAAACACTGATTTCCCAGCTGGGTGGCCGTGCCCCGGTGAGTCAGCCCCTCTGGGCCGGGTGCCCGCTGGCCCCGGAGGTTTTGGCAGGCTCTGGAGCTGGGGCAGCGTGACCGGGGACGGTGCTTTGGCTTGGCTTGGCCGAGGTGCCACGCTCTCTGCTTGCTCTCACCACCCTCCTCCTCCTCCTCCGGCCGTCTCCGGCGCTGCGTGAGGAACAGGAGGCTTCCTCCCAGCTTGGGCTTGAGCTCTGCTTGGTGCTGCCTGCTTAGAAACCGTCCCGCTCACGACTGACAGGTTTTGGGGGGGGGAAGGAGGTGAGGAGGGGTTCTCTGCTAATTTAGGACTAAAAACCGAGCGCCTTGTGGTGTAGAAAAGCTTCAGTTCCAGCTCTGGGTGTTGGGGCTGGGCTCTCCCTGCCCGGCCAGGGGGAATTGTGTGACCCTCGAGGGCTGGCTGGGGAAGAACCAGCCCCGTGGGGCTTCTCCCCCCTCAATCCCCTAAAGATCCCGTTTGGCAGCTCGGTGCCGGAGCCGCCGTGCTCTGCGGCAGCGCTGCCGGCTCCGTGTGTCGCAGCAGAGAGGAAAACAAAGCAAAAGATGTGAAAGGACAGAAAGAGCCTCTTGTAACCGGCCGGGGGACGGGAGGATGAGGCGGGAGGGGGCCTGCGAGGAGGAAGGCCTGGCCCATCCACCTCCCCCTGCGCTGGCTGACACCCCCCACACCCCCCCAATCCCTCCCTCGCCCCCGAGCAAAAAAAATTGTGATTCTGCTTTGGTAAAAATGCATCGGCTGGTAGAAACTCACTCTGTTAGTGCATATTTCGATATAAATGTCAATGTTTCACCCCACCGTGTCGCAGCGTGTGTGTGTGTGCGTGTGTGTGCGCCCCCCCCTGCTCCCTCCTGCCCCTTTCTGTGTCGGTGCCACCTCCTCTTCCCCTCCCGTGGGGCCGAACCCCCCCCC